GGCTTAAAACTCACGCCAGGCGTGTGTGCGTGCGTGCCCAAGATCCCGAGAGGAGAATGGAGGAGAAGGGATTGCGGCGAGGCCATCCCTCCTGGGGGGTGATTTCTTGCTTTCTGTCTCTCTGTCTCTCTCTGTCTGTCTGGCGAGCGCATGTGCCCTATAGCAAAAAAAAACTCTCCCCCCCAAAAAAAAGAGAGAGAGAGGGAAAGTGAGAAAGCAAGCTGCCAGGTCTGGGACTCAAACCGTGGTAGGGCCATGTGGAAGTCCAGCACCTTAGCTACCACACCATCTGCCCCCGCAGGCCCCACGCTCTAGTAATTTTAAGTGAGCGTCTCTGCAGGGCTGGGACAGCCTCCCATCGTCTGTGCTGCCTGCTCTGTACTCACACACACATGAGTGCCTGCCGGTGTTCTCTGGTCCTTCCTGCCTCCCCGCCCTCCCCTGCCCAAGCACAACGCCCCCTGAAATGCGAAGGAGCAGTGGGAAACACACTTCATTCCTCCTCTCGGATTCCCCAAGGGAGAAGACTGCAGCACCGCTCAGTCCAGGAGCCAGAAGAGGAACAAGGTTGCCATTCTCCAAATGAGGAGAAAGAAGATGGAGGAGGACACGGAGGACACGGAGGACACGGAGGATGGGGCAGAGGGGCCCCCTCCGTCTTCGAAATCTCCGAGGACAAAAGGCAGGCAATGCCCGTGCAGGAAGACCTGCCAACTGAGGCACAATGAGTGCTTGAGCATCTTGGAAAATAGCTTGAACCCCTCCACAGAGGAGGTCAAGCTGTCCTGCTGGAGTTTGGCCACGTTTTACCAGTACTTCTGTAGCTGTTGCCACAGGACACAGAAGTCAGTGGAGGAAAACAAGGCTTCGGGCTCCAGGGACGGGAAGGCCACGTGCAGCTGAGTCTATCCCAGACCCAGTGGCTGATGGTCCAGGGCTCCCATGGGCTCCTTAGGAAACTCCAGGCAAAGGCCGGGGTGGAAGTTGGCAGGAGAGCGTAATCTTCCAGCTTGTAAATAAAGCACGTTTTATTTTTCTGAATGGCACGTATAAGCCTGATGGTAGCAGGGGGGGGTTAATATTTATTTTTAATTGTATTTATTCATTAGTTTATTTATTTATTTAGGAGAGATTTTTGCTATAGGGCGTGTGCGCTCCCCAGAAAGAAACAGAGAGATAGAAAGCAAGAAATCACCCCCCAGGGGAGATGGCCATGCCACAATCCCTTCTCCTCCATTCTCCTCTCGGGATCTTAGGCATGTACGCGCACTGCCCAGCATGAGTGCGAGCTTAAGCCACTGGGTCCAGGACTCGAACCATGGTCGACTATATGGGAGTCCAGTGACATAGCCATTACGCCAACTGCTGGTCGCTCATTAGTTTATTTTAATTTGACCAGAGAGTCACACTGAGAGAGAGAGAGAGAATGCGAGAAAGCAAGCCACCAAGTTCAGGACTCGAACCGTGGTCGGCCATGTGGGAGTGTCCAGCATCTTAATACCACGTTACTTGCTGGTCCTCACTGATTGCAGGTTTTTAATTTTTCTTTTCTTTGCTACCACCTTTCTCTTTCTGACCATCTTCTTTCAGTGTTTTTTTTTTTCCCCCATGGGACCTGTGCTCACTGGAGACAGAGGCAGAGACATTATTGCTCTGTATAATCTATTTCCTCTCTTGTTTCGTTTAAAATAAACTGATTTGTGGCTGTAGATGGTGTGGCGGTTAAGGCGGTAGACTCCCACTCCCACATGGCTGGCCACGGCTTGAGTCCTGGACCTGGCTGGCTTGCTCTCTCTCTCTCTCTCTCTCTCTCTCTGTCTCTCTCTCTCTGTTTTTCTCTGGTCAAATTGAAGAAAACTAAAAATAAATAAATAAAAATAAATAATTCTAAAATAAATAAATAAACTGGGTTTGGGGCCTGCAGGTGGCATGGTGGTAGAGGTACAGGACTCCCGCAGAGCCGACCATGGTCCGAGTCCCAGACCTGGCTGCTTGCTTTTTCCATTTTCCCTCTCTCCCTTGCTCTCTCTCTGATGAGTGCATGTGCCCTATAGCAAATTGAAAAAAAAAAAATTAAATGAAAATAAATAATTAAGAAAAATAAACTGGCACTTGCTGTTTTCTTTTTTTCTTTTTTTTTTAGGTTTTTGCTATAGGGCACGTGTGCTCGCAAGAGAGGAGCCAGAG